TGGAGGTGATGAAAAGGAATGGAGAAAGAAGAAAGGGTACTTAAGAGAGAAAAGGAGAAAGGGGAATTAGAAGAGGGAAGGAATAAGAGGAATTAGGAGAGAGAAGGAGAAAGGGGAATTAGGAAAGAGGTAAGGAGAAAGGGGAATTAGGAGAGTGGAAAGAGAGATAAGTAGTACAAAGGAAGGAGATGAAGAGGAATAGAGGAAAAAAGGAAATTAAGATTAACACATAGAGGGGAGAAGAGCAGAAAGGTGAAAGTGAAGATGAAAATGAGGAAGAAGAAGACACAGAAGATTCAACGAAAAGACAGACGAAACAAAGACAACGAAGAGAATAATAAGAACAGAATAAAGGAAGGGGAAGAGGAGAAACGAGGGAGATAAAGTAGAAGACGGTGGAAAGGGACTAAAAGGAAGAAAATAAAGGAAAATACTGTCAACCTCAAAGGAAATGTGAGACGCTGATGGTAATGATTATTTAGATTGAAGAGTTGCATAGATGTTAGACGAGTTGAAGGATAGTTGATGGCGAGGTCAGAAGGGTTTTGAAAGGATGATGGTGGTTTTGATGATGATGATGATGATAAAGAAGAGGAGGATGAGGATGAGGATTAGAAGGAGGATGAGGATGAGGATTAGAAGGAGGATGAGGACGAGGAAGAAGAGGAGGATGACGATGATGATAAAGAGGATAAGGATAAGGAAGATGACTATGATGATGATGATGATGGTGATAATGACGACGACGATGATGACAATTATAATGATGATGATGAATAGGAGGAGGGTGAGGATGATGATGATGATGATAAAGAAGAGAGGAGGAAGAGGAGGAGGAAGAGGAGGAGGAGGAAGAGGAAGAGGAAGATGACGATGGCGATGACGATGATAAAGAGGTTGAGGATGAGGAGGATGACGATGATAATGATGATGATAATGGTGATGATGACGACGACGATGATGACAATTATAATGATTATGATGAATAAGAGGAGGGTGAGGATGATGATGATGAAGATAAAGAGGAGGAAGAGGAGGAATGCGATGCCGAAGATAAAGAGGATGAGGATGAGGAGAATGGCGATGATGATAATGATGATGATGACGACGACGATGATGACAATAATCAGGATGACTATGGCACTTACGATGACGAAAACGATGACGTCATCCCAATACTGATCACAATCATAACAAAGAGGATGATAACACACGCGACAAACCATAGTTTCATCACTACCGTAATAACAAGTGGGCTTTAAAAAATACGAGGCTGTTATTTTCATTTTTGGTGCTTCGGCGGCTACAAAAGCGAGTACTTATTGAACACTAATATTTCTATCACAATGAACGTTATGAACAACAGCGCCCGGTACCAATCAGCCGCGGGGACCCTTCACACAGCGGGCGTGAAAGCACTGGAAGTAAATCTGATTTCGTCTCTTTCATAACCATGAATCGCCCACTCTGTCCTTTCTCTCTGTGTGTCTGTCTGTCATTCTCTTTCTTTCTTTTTTAATACGCGCACACGCTCTCTCTCTCTTTTTCTCTCTTAAATTCTCTTACGCTCATTTTTTTTCTCTATTTCTTTCTCTTTACCACCCCCTCTCTCTCTCTTCTCCCTCTCGCTCTCATCTCTCCAACTCTCTTTCTTTCGTTCTCTCTCTCAGCCCCCTCTCTCTGTCTCTCCCTCTCTCTCTCCCTCCCCTTCTCTCTCTCTTTCTTTTTCTCTCTCTCCTTTTCTCTCTCACTTCCCTCTCTCTCTCTCCCTCTTTCCCTCTCTCTCTCCTCCCCTCCGTCTTCTCCTCTCTCTCCTCCTTCCCCTCTCTCTCTTGCCTCTTCTCTCTCTCTTCTCTCTCTCTCTCCTCTCTTCTCTCTCTCTCTCTCTCTCTCTCTCTTCTCTCCTCTCTCTTCTCTCCTCTCTCCCTCCTCTCTCTCTCTCTCTCTCTCTTTCTTCTCTCTCTCTTCTCTGTCTAACCATTCTCGACAGACTGATTGAGAAAGAACTCGGGAAAGGTTAAAAACAGCGAATCATTCATTAACCTTTGACCTGTGATCGGAGGCAAAAACAAAACAAAATATTCGGTTTTCAAAATTATATTAAAAATTGGCATAGTTCCTCCAAAGCAGAGGCGCAGGTTTCCGCTTACAGTGTGAGGGAGCGAATGGGAGAGAGAGGAAGAGAGAGAGAAAAGGTATATACATACATACATACATACAGAGAGAAAGAGAGAGGGGGGATGACTGTGTATGTGTGTGTGTGTAAGAGAAGAGAGAGAGAGAGAGAGAGAGAGAGAGAGAGAGAGAGAGAGAGAGAGAGAGAGAGAGAGGGAGAGAGAAAGAAAGAGAGAGAGAGAGAGAGAGAGAGAGAGAGAGAGAGAGAGAGAGAGAGAGAGAGAGAGAGAAGAGAGAGAGAGAGAGAGAGAAGAAAGAAAGAAAGAAAGAAAGAAAGAAGAGAGAGAGAAAGAGAGAGAACCTACAAGCAGACAAACGCAAGCAA